AGCCCAGAAGCCAGAACACTAAACCTTGGTAATGCAGGGGCCTCTTTAATAATTAGAAAAAGGCTTGGGGGTGTATTATACTATCGTTAGAATAAAAAATTCCAAAAAACTCTATTCTAATTGTTAAGGCCCGTACATCAGGCTTCGAATCGTGTCGCCGGTGTTTTGGTTCCCTTGCTTTTGGCTGGGCTCTAACTGACCCAGAGACTCCAAAACTGTTTAATCAAGGAACATATATCCGGGGTCTTATTCGCGTTCCGACTGTGCTTTAATTCAGGTATTGTGTACGCCTTGATTGAGGAACACACCTTCAATCCCATCTGATCTAAAAATCTAAGGTATGTTCCTTAACTGAGGGTTTTTCTCTGACTGAGGAGAAGCTCAGCTCTTCGAAGGCAGACTGGCAGGCCCTGTTTCTTTCGATGAAAGGGTTATCGGGAGCACCGTAAGGGTTTAGGGTTTTGGGTCTAGGCCTTTAGGGTTAAGGGTTTAGGGTTAGGCTTTACAGTGACTACTATAGGGACTATCATCAGGGTCTATTTCCCCCAGTCCCTACTAAGAGCCAGGGTCTTTCGATCGGTTTAGGGCTTAGGGGGTTTCGGGCTGAACAGGCCTACTGGGTCTAGGATGTTTAGGGCGCATAGGGGTTTTAGGGCTTACGGGGCTTACCGTTTTTGTTGATCGGTTTAGGGCTTAGGGCGATGGGGGATCCTTAACTTGAAAGGGTTTAGGGCTTCATGATTCCAGCATATGTGTGATGTTTTAAAGGTTTGGGCTTGCTCGGTTTAGGAAATTTACGTCTTGGGGGGTGTCTGGGCCTGGATGCGCTCCTTTGATCACATGGTACTTGCACCTTGTAAGTAGATTCTATGCAGATCGTCGATGACAGCTGACCGTCGCAAGGTAGCATGTCTTGTATGGCGATGCAGGACGGTGCGGATGTTGCATTTTAGCGCTTGGGTACCTGCATCGCCAGCCAGTAGACCCTGGATGCCTGGGTTGCTCCTGTGCCGTACAGGTCTGCCCGGATTGCAGTCGAAGTTTGGATTTACAGCCAATGCCTCGAACACGAACCGTAGTCCAGAAATACAGAACTCCGTACTTCTTGCCGTAAATGCTAGTGATACCGTCCCATTCTGGCCCCTAGAAAAATGCTAATCTCTACCGCCCTCCCTCACCCTCTCTCCCAAACGCCGCTTGACTTATAGATGGTGCTCACAGTCTAAACCCAAAACGGGTTTAACTTTTCCGCTGCCGTGAACCCCGAAGCATACCTGCAGCCTCAACGACCGACCTACTTAAAACCCTATACTTCTAACTGCCCATGAACCTGCAAGTACCGTTTACAAGGAGTTATAATACGAAACCGAAAGGAGCCACAAAAACACTGCACGTTTTGCCCCCGTAGAAGCACTAGAAGTCCGTTTACAGCTCCAGCTCCAAACTTGGCATCTCATTTGCAGATCGCAGTCACGCACTTTCCCTGTGGCCATCAGGCCTTGATCGTTCGGAGATCTTCGTGTTCGGGGCTCTAGGGTTGTTCTTGAGGGCTCCTTTCAGGGTTCGGTAATGAGGGTATCAGGGCTGCCAACAGTCAGCTGGAATAGCTATAGAAGTACCGTAGTCCGCATTCCCCCCAAAGAAGCAGAAGTATCGCACTTTGTGATAGAACTCCTCAGGTAGCGTATACTGACGAAACCCTGAATCCACAAGTCCGCAATTGAGGGTTGGGGGAGGAAGGTGTTCGAGCCTGAAGCCTTAAGCCTCCAAAGCCAGAACCGAAGACCGTAAATGCTACTTTGACCCTAAGACCCAAGAAACCTAAATATTCAGGGTTCCTCATGATTCGACCCTCCAAACACAGACGGTCCTCGTGTTTGCTGTATGGTGTAAGCCCAATCCCGAAAGGGTCAACCCTAGATCTCCAAGCTGTTGGTTCAACGGTTTAGGGTTTAGGGTTTAGGGTTTAGGGTTTAGGGTTGGGTGAGTTTCAAGCTTTGTTTGGCTTCAGAGGATTGTTTCGGCGGGCGAGGGGAAGAAGGTTGTTCACGGCGTGGCCGTTTTTGGTGTCGTGAAGCTTGCCCACGGTTTGCAGTTGCACATGGGTTCCCCAAGGGTCCAAGTGCCCAATTTGTGTTCAGAGCGGCTTTGGGTCCAAATGACCAGGAACTAGGGCGGTGCATGCTTGTGCTACTATAGGGTAACATGTACCCAACATTTGAGCACTTGGACCTTCCGGCTTAAGGTTGAAAGGCGGAGGTGCGATGATTGTCAAATTGGAGAGTTGCAGGGTACTCACTGGACGGCTACCAGCGGCAACGTTACACGAATGCAGGGAGGGAGGCTTTTGAATTTGAGTGGTTTTGAGGTGTCGTGCTTTTTGTGAAGATCCCTTTTCTCGCAACACAACCCCTAAAAGCTCAGAACGACCAGGCCTCTGGCATAGTGCGGACCCTGGTTTCCCCAAATTTTGATGTCGCAAAATCGCACCCAAACCAGACTTCTGCAATAGATGCTGCGATGCTCTATCAAAACCTTCCATTCAGGTGGTAGCCGTCTTATATAGAAACTAGACTGCAACTAGACTTCCTAAGCCTTGACTCCTGAACCCCAAACCTTAAACCAGAAATCTTACTCCCTAAGCCCTTGCCATGACTCCTCTGCTCTTGTCGTCGCAGCGCGAATGGTACGCAAAGCTGCGGGACCTGGGCCTTGATCTCCTCGTCACTGGCCATATTCACGAGCAGCCCTGGGCTGAGACGAGGGTTCATCTAGGGGCCGTCAGAACTGGGCTTCTCTGGGTATATTTATTCGTATTGTAATATACCCCAAATCCTTATAACTGATTGGAGCTTTTCTGGGGTTTCTCTAAGTATAATTATTCGTATTGTAATATACCCCAAATCCTTATTGGGACCATTGAGGCCTTGGGTTTGGGGTTTGGGGTCGAGGGGTGTGGCTTGGGGCGAGGTTCAGAGTTTGGGGCTGTTGGGCTTGAGGTGCTTGGCGGATTTGAGGTTGGAGATTTAAGGGTTTAGGGTTTAAGGTTTAGGGTTTAGGGTTTAGGGTTTAAGGTTTTGGGTTTAGGGTTTAGGGTTTAAGGTTTTGGGTTTAGGGTTTAGGGTTTAGGGTGGAGATTTCACACCAAGTTGACACAATGGATCAAAGGGGAAAAGGAGGGACCCTTGATGGGGACCCCTACCCTAAAATGGGCTATATCATGGGTATATAATAGCTATATTAAGGGTATATACCTAGGGTCCTTATTAAGGGTCCCTCCTTTTACCCTTGGAATGGAGGTTTCTGGAACCTGCAGGTAGTCAGCTCAGGCTGCGAAAGGTGGTTGTGCTTCTGCCAATCCGAGCAGCTGCAAGGATTGGTGGGATTGGGGATTAGGCCTGGCCCAAAGGGTCTTGTGTACTGTTATGGGGGGGGATACTTCCTCAAATCATAACAACAATTCCTAATGTAGAAACCCTACATTCTACCATATCGGTACTTTGGACACTTTGGGTAAATCTAAAACCAATAAATTCACAATAGTTCCTAATATAGGAACCCTACATTCTACAAAATCGGTACTTTGGACCCTTGGGAGTTAGGATTAGGGGTACCCTTGGGGATATAGACCCTCTCAGCAAGGCCCCTTTTAAGAGAGCCAGAAGTAGGGTTCAGAAGGGAACCCTTTAAGGGGTCTCCCTAATCATACTACCTACCCTTGGGGTGGGTCACTGCCAGAGATGGAGACTCTGGGCTTCCCGGACCCGAGGTTTCCAGAGCCTCCAAAACCCCTTAATTAAGGAATATACCTTAAATTATAGTAGGATCCCTTATATGATTTAAGGTATATTCCTTAATTGAGGGGTTTTGGAGTCTCTGGGTTTCGTACTTCGGCGCAGCGTCCACCGCCACATTGCCTCCGACTGAAACCCCAAGCCCTGAGCCCTACATCCTGAACCCTAAACCCTAAACCATGAATCCTAAACCCTAAAAGGTTTACGTCCCAACCAAAATCATCGACATAAGTTCAGGGACCTACAAAAACACGTAAGCATAATCATTTTATCGGGATATCCCGACCTTATTGCGCTTCATTCTAAGGGGTTTATATGGGATATCCCTATCCTAGCTTTTGCTTATGTGCTTTTTGGGGGCCTTATAAGTAGGCATATTGTATGGCATGAACCCTCCCAAAGAGTCCTACGTACTACTCTGGGGGATATACGTCCCCAAACCATAATAGTAGTAGCTATTATAGAGACCCTACATTCTACTATATAAGGTACGTTGGACCCTTTGGGCCTTAAGCCGGAGTTTCGTATGAGGGAGGTCCTGCCGCACCCGAAGCTGCAGTTTTTTCGGCTTTCAGAGCGGGGTCTAGTCTGAAGGCCCGGTACCAGGGGAACGGTGGGGATTGCAGACCACCGCATCCCCATCCCGCGCGCGCAAGGCATCGTTGGTTAAAGCAGACTGGGCTTTAGTGTTTCACAATGGTTCTGGGCTTTTCAGAATTTCATACATATATATTTATACACACATACATACATGTATCAAGTAAATAAATATATGTATATGTATATGTGTATATATGTATATGTGCATTTAACTTTAGGAGTCAGGGCTTGGATACTTCGAGGGTTTCGGCGCTACCTGACAAGACTTATGATTGGTTTGCAGCGCGATCCCTTTCACACCCTGTGTTGGCCAGAAGGCGCGTTTGCATGAGGTGCTTGTATTAGAAGCCTGAACATGTACTTGACCATGTTATTCCTTAGGGGTGTACTAGAGTTATGCGATACTATCGCCCCCAAACCCTACGGCAGCTACTACGTCCGGCGCGAACGGCCCCAGCTATGCTGGCAAAGGGTTGGGTAGGGTGGCTTAAATTTGGTCAATCCGGTAGAAAATGCAAGCATCGAAGGCAGCATCTCCAGGCCCCTCCTCAACCCTAAAGGCAGTCGTCGAGTTTCGGGATCTACGTTTTCAGATTGGCACCAGCCATGGTTGCCGCCAGCCTTGCCAATTCCGGTTGGCTCACTCTCGCTGGCACTGCACTGAGTGGCCTGGGCTCCACCCTTAGTGGCCTCAGCACACTGTGCCTCGACTCGAACAGTGACGGAGAGAATCACATGACCATCGGACTCTTGCGCCCTACCCGGGTACAGGGATATTTCCTTCGAATGTGTATGTGTGCATAGGTGTTCGGGCTCCCATTGTAGAAGGAGATGTACAAGGAGAGGGAGAGAGAGAGAGAGAGAGAGAGAGAGATAGAGAGAGAGAGAGAGAGAGAGAGAGGGAGAGAGAGAGGGAGAGAGAGAGGGTGAGGGAGAGGGAAGACAATAATTAGCACAGACCCTAAGGGTCCAAATAGTCCTTATTTATGGTTTTGGATACCTAAAAAGGCCCTAAAGTCCCATAATGGGGAGTACTTGGACCCTGAGGGAATAATCAGCACAGAACGAGGTACGGCCTCTCCTCGCAAGTGCCGCACTCCCTCGCCGATGTGGCCGCCGGTGGGGCGGCGGTCATCGGTGCGGCCGGGGCCAAGGCTCACCTGGGCGCGCTGCTCGGCGAGTCTTGGGGCTTTGGGCTGAAATGTGTAGGCCCTATAAACCCTAACACCTAAACCTTAAAAATCGTTAACCCTAAACCCTAACCCCTAAACCCCTAAACCGTTCATGTTCTATAGGGTCTCGACATCTCGAATGCGTACTTCCGCATGGCAAACCTTGAACTCGGCAAGCCCAAAGCCAGTCCAAGTGCGCCATATGCACTACTGTAATATGGGGTTAGGCCCCCCAAAGCTATAATAAAGCATGATCTTTTGGGGACCTAAAAAAACCCTAAACCCTGTTTATTGTTAGGCCCCTGTGTTCGATGGAGGGTCTATGAACCCAGCGGTTTTCTGGGGCTCCCTACTAAAACCAAAGGGTCCGAATCGGTCCGAAGTACCTATATAGTAGAATGCGGGGTTTCTACCATGGAAATTGCTTTTATGATTTGGGGAAGTATCCCCCATAATGGTACCTAGGACCCTTTGGGACACCCAAAACCCCAAACCCTTAGCTCTAGCCCTAGAGCCTCCCAGAGTGGCTCTCTGAGGCTCATGGGCGCGAACGCCTTCAGCCTCAGCACTGTCAGCGTTGGGGCGGGCTGCATCTACGCTTCTTTGGGAGTGCCTTGCTTAGGTTTCTTTGGGGGGCTTCTTGAAAGGGCCGTATAAGGTTCCTTCAAGCGTTGCGATAGAGGTTTCTATCAGGTGTGGTGAGGGTTGATTGGTTTTGGGAGCAGGGTTTAGGGTTTAGAGCTTACATAGGCTTGTTGGGGCATTTAGGACTCAGAGTTTAAACTTCGGGTTTCGGGTTCAGAGCTTATAGGGTTTGGGGATCTTTTCAGATTTGTAGTTTAGGGTTGCCTTGTAATCGAGGATGTAGGGTTGAAGGTTGGCAGGTTAGGGCTTGGGAGGTCTTCGAACTTCGGATTTCGGCGCGCGTTATAGTGGCAGTTATAGGGTAATAGAAAAGGATCCACATAAGATCCCCCAGCAAAATAGGCTTCCGGCACGAATCCCAACGTCAGTCCTTAAACTGTCCTCTCCGGATGCCGGAGCCCTAAACCAAAAAATACGTAAACCCGAGTTATGATGAGCTTACCTCTAGTCTCCATTGTAGTTCCTTTCTGGGCATACCTTATAGGGTCCTAATTGTATATTCGGTTAAACCAAAAAAGGAACTACATTGGAGACTATAGGTAAGGTGTCGAGGATCGCCCTGAAGTCTTTCTTGAAGCCCATCCTTCGAACCGAAACACTGAAACCCTGAACACCATGCAGTTTCGGGTTTTAGAGCTTGGTGTTTTAGGGTTTTAGGGTTTAGTAGGGGGTTTGGGGGGTTTGTAGAAATTCCTAATCCCTAAACCCTAAACCCTAAACCCTAATTAAATCTTAAGCTTTTGCCCCAGACCTGTAAACTTGTACGGCACGCTCAGCTGGAACTTCCGACCGCAGTGACATGACGAAGTTAGCCGACGGTTTAGGGTTTAGGGTGTAGGGTTTAGGGTTTAGGGTTTAGGGTTCTATAGGGTTTAGGGTTGAAAGTTCTCGGTAGACACCCTTGAGCTTTGGAGTCCACGGCTTGTGGGTTCTATGTTGCCAGTCCCCTAAAACCCTAGAGCCCAAATCGTGGGGGGGGCTTGGGAGTTTACGGTAGGGGATTCTAAGTTGTAAGGCTTAAAGCTTGAAATGTTTAGGGTTTTGGGTAGGGTTTGAGCCCATCCCCTGGCCCTAGTAACCCCCAAGTCGAAATTGAAGGCTCATAAGGCTGCAGTCTTCCTGCCCTAAACTCTACCCTACGGCTCCTAAAGGGGTCATGGGCTTTCTGGGGGAAGGGTTTGGGCTTTGGGGGCTAAGGTTTGGGATCTCGCTACCAGGGTCCAGGAGCATTAGGGTAAACCCTAAACCCTCTTCCTACAGAGGTCATGCATTTTCTTCGAACCCTGGCCAAGCTCAGCGGTGAGAAGCCGCCACTGCACGCACCCCTTGCCGGCCAGGCGGGATAAAGAGGATCTCACAGGGCTTTAGGGTGTAGGGATTAGGGGTTAGGGCTGTGTAGGATTTTATGATTCGGGTGTTTAAGAAAAGGAGTTTAGGGTTTGGGTGTGAAAGCTCGAGGGGTGTAGGATTTAGGGATACGCAGCCTATTATCAGCATTGCGGCTACCTCTGTTGCCCCGAGGCACTATTCGCACATGTGTTGGATCAGGATAAGAGTTGGTCGTCTGCGGTGAAACAGGTATATTCTTTTTCATGTATATACATGAAAAAGGATGCGGGTTGCGGGAGTCTTTACATACGAGTTATTTTTCATAGATCTCTCATCCAGAACTGAGTTGGACGTTTGTTTCGTGGAAGGATTCCGAAAACAGGGAAGCCTAATACAGCACCCTTGAATAATAGGATCTTTACTATAAGACCCCAAGATAAACCCCGAATTTCCGGAAACTACCATATGTCTTGAGGCAGATGCCTCCTTCCCTTTGCCACGCTGGCCGCCCTGAGCAAATGCACATGTGATGTCTTGTTTGAATCCGAAGGGCATGTATCCGATTGGGTTCCTTTCAGGGTACAATAATAAGGGCTCCTTTGAGGGATCCTTTGAGAGCTCTATAAGGGCTTCGGGTTCAAGGGTCCATGTGCCCAAGTAGCATATACACCGGCTTTCAAGTAGCTAAGTAGTCCCTATATAGGTACTTTGGGGCCCAAGTATATATACTATTTGGGTACATGGACCCTGAGGGTTACAGGGTTCATGACCTGGAAGTTCGCTTCCAGGTTTCGGGCCCAAGCAAGAGCCACGGCATAGTGTAGCCCCAAGCATATCTTCAGCCCAGAAGGATAAAACCCGAACCGGGTAGCTACTTTCCTGGCCTTTCCGTGTCATGGACCCAATTTTTTGGGAGAGGGGCTTGAGAATTATAAATAAAAACAGGTATCGAATCCGGTTTATTTGGAATTCATGTTATGGGTTCTGGCTTCAGAGCGTCTCATATTCAGAGTTTTAGGAATGCAGCTGTTTATGTTAGATGTGTATCGGTGTTTTGCAAGATAACTTAATCAAAGGTATTGTGTTGTATAAGGTTTGGGATATTGGATCTGATATTGGGCTTCCGAGCTAGAGATGCTGAGGCCTGAACCGAATGTCAGCCGCCGGTAGCCTTAGCCCCAGCCTCTTTTTTAATCGTTGGGGGTCCCAAATACTAGAAAGACTGGACAAAGCCCTATCCACCTTGCAAGGACACCTTGAGGCCTCGAACTCCTGACGAACCCAAGCACCCAATCATCAGCTGCTTTGGACCCTTGGGGTAAGTGGGCAAAGCAAACCCTAAAAGGATCTAATTCAACCCGAAACCCCTAAACCCTAAACCCTTATTCATTCCGCCTAAAGCTTTGATACACAAGAAGCCCTACCCAGGCTTTCCTGGCGCGTGCTCAACTGGGCCGTCATTGGCCGCTGCGGCGCCGGGAAGTCGACGCTGATCAACTCCCTGAGGGGGTCCTGCTTGCATCTTTTTGGTTTTGGGGTTTAGGGGTTTCGTGTGTAGGGGTTTAGGGTTCTGTGAGGCTTTCTAGGGCGCTGTAAGCTACCTGGGTAGCCTGGTAGATAGGATCCAGCAGGCTTTTGGAGTTTGAGAATACGGATGAAGGGTTAGGCTGTCTGTGACATTGGTCCAGTATCAAAGCTTGCGGTGTTCTTGTTTAACCTGACAGGCATTGAAAGGCTAGTTCGAACTCTTAACTTTGAACCTACACCCTAAACCGTTAACGGAACCCGAAACCCTCAACGGAACCCTAAACCCTTAAGGGAAGCCTAAGCCCAAAACGGAGCCCGAAGCCCTCAACAGAACCCTAAACCCTTAAGGGAAGCCTAAGCCCAAAACGGAGCCCGAAGCCCTCAACAGAACCCTAAACCCTTAAGGGAAGCCTAAGCCCAAAACGGAGCCCGAAGCCCTCAACAGAACCCTAAACCCTTAAGGGAAGCCTAAGCCCAAAACGGAGCCCGAAGCCCTCAACAGAACCCTAAACCCTTAAGGGAAGCCTAAGCCCAAAACGGAGCCCGAAGCCCTCAACAGAACCCTAAACCCTTAAGGGAAGCCTAAGCCCAAAACGGAACCCGAAACCGCCAGGCTCAAACCTCGGAGTCCGGGCTCCGCCCCAGTGGGCAGCGCCCCGAAGCCTAGCGAACCCAAGGCCTTCGTTTGGGGTTCCTTTCCTAGGTTTAGGGTTTTAGCAAAACAGACCGCCACATTTCGATCCTGAAGCCTTACAGGTGCCTTTAGTGTTGGAATCAGGTGGAGAAATGTGTACTTTCCGTTTACCTATAATATTACGTGGGACCATAAGGGCATTTTACACCCTAAACCCCTAAACCCTAAGCCCTAAACCCCTTTGGTGAACCTCAAGTGCTTAAAACGCTGTAGACCTCCAAACCTACGAGCGTTGAGTCTCCAAATCCCAAGCTAGGAGAGCACCAACCCAAAGGGTCCAAAGTACCTATGTAGTAGAATGTAGGGTTTCTATGTTAGGAATTATTACTATGGTTTGGGGAAGTAATCCCCATAACAGTACCTAGGACCCTTTGGGCAAGCCTTAGACCCAGTATAGCCGCAAGCCCCAAACGAGAAGCGAGGCTGACCCCAAACGGCCCTAAATTGCAGGGTCTTTGGGCCCAAGGCCCAACGGCCGTAAAGTGCGAGTTCTTGGAGATTAAACTTGCCCAAAGACTCTAAACCCAGACAGCCCTTCAGCCGTACATAAACCTGAAACCTCAAACCCTAAAGCCCTCATAACATGCGAAGTGCCCGTGTATTCATCTGTTGTAGGCTTGAGGTACTTCTATAGGGATTACCTTACTTCAAGGCCACAATATATGCTGTTTCTGTACATAGAAACCCGTAAATCCCTTCAACTCTATAGAAAGCCCCAAGGGCCCTGCCGCAGCCCGCGAGGCATACATGTTCCAGGGCGACCTGGCGCGCTTCACGCGCATGGCAAGGCCGATTTAGGGTTTAGGGGTTTAGGGGGTTTAGGGGTTTAGGGCTTTAGTGGGTTTAGGGGTTTAGGGTTTAGAGCTTAGGGAGTGTAGGGTTTAGGGGTCTAGGGCCTTGGCATAGGATATGACGAGGGGTGCACACGACTCTGATAGTTCTGTGTGATGTCAAAGCAACTTCTTTGTCCTTATAGTCCCTATGGAGAACATAAGCCTTTTATGGTTCCCATATGCACCGCAGAGGCTATGGGACCTACCTGGTGCCGGCACCAAACAATGGCCATGCGCGAGCTACGTGCTTTGGCCTTTCGAGCCTCAAGGGTTCGATTTTAAGGTCCAGCCGTAGTAACCGTAGCCCCAAGGGTCCAAGTACCCAATAATCATATACTCCCCTAAATCCTAACCTACATAACTACATAACTACTATCCTAAAACCGAGTACCTAATCATGGAGTCCTCTGGACCCTTAGGGTAGTTTTTTCCTTGGGCAAGCAAGCAGTCCTTCCTCCGCAGGACCTTCTAAGGGCTTTCTGGCAGTCCGACATATACTCCCGGATTGCAGCGCCCATGTTCACCTACCAAGGCTTCGTATGGGGTCTGCTGACTATCCCTCGATAGCTCCGACTGAAACTTGCGAGATTTCGAGGATTCCCCTTGCTGATTTATTTGCCCTGAAGTCTCTGGGTAGGACCTTGCGATCGGGTTGTATCGAGCGAGATATTTGGGGAGTGCTCGCAGACTGCGAGCAAAGGATGTAGACTGTAGATCCCGCTTCCGACCTCTCTAATACTAAACTTGTCATGAACAAGTCCTAGTCTCTACAGCCCATAACCCGAAACCCTCAGCCCCAGGCCCTAAACCCGAAGCCCTAAACCCAAGGCTAAGTCTTCAACCCAGAAGTGCCAAGCAAGGTGCGAGATGCAGGTCTACGCCACTTCGATGGAGTTCTTATCGTCACCTCGGGCCCTGCGAGTGAGTTCGAGGCCACGGGCAATCCCAATGCATACAGATACACACGCAGAGAAATTTGCGCGTGTGTGTGTGTGTATATATGTGTGTTGAAAATATGTAGAGAGAGAGAGAGAGAGAGAGAGAGAGAGAGAGAGAGAGAGAGAGAGAGAGAGAGAGGGAGGGAGAGCGCAAGAGGGAGAGAGGGAGAGAGACAGAGAGAGAAAGAGCGAGAGAGAGACAGATAGGGGTTCTGCAGCATACATAAACGTACCGACACATAATTTTTGATTTATAGGTAGGGGTTAGTAGATTGAGGGATTCAGTCAGTGTAGGCGGAACCCCAAGGCTCCACCTTCCCATACCGTATATACACGTGGTGGTATTTGGGTGCCGAGCCACGTACTTTCGGGCCAAACTATATACTCCCAAAGGGTCCTAGGTCCTACGGTTGATGATATAAATCCTGCATGACCCATAATCAGGAATATACCATAATTCCCATAGTTAAGGATCCTTAAGGTAGTGCAGGATTTGTATCATCAACCGTATGATGGGGGATGCTAACCGTACTAACCCAAATCATATGGAATTCCTAATTAATAGAAAGCCTACAGTCTACTACATCCTTAGAGTTGACAACAAACATTGGAGTGGAGGGTTGGAGCTAAGGAGGTTGCAAATGTAGCTCTTATTTTTCTGGCTCTTGATTAGTTGTTTAAACCATCATAACCTACTTTTTGTAGGTTCTCAATTGTAGTATTACCCCTGGCGAAGCATTCTTGGGGGTCCTACAGAAGAGAGAGGTTTTGGTAGTTCAAGCTTACAAGTTCATGTTCTCTGGGATCGGACCAAGCGGGTCGTGGATTTGCAAACCCTAAACCCTAAACCCAAAACCCAAAACCCTAAACCCTAAACCCTAAACCCCTAAACCCTAAACCGGCTTCTGTATCGCTGCCCTTGGCGAAGGGTCTGGGGATTGTAGTTTCTGGACCTAGCCATGCTTCATGCGTTTAGGGTTTAGGGTTTGGGTTTAGGGTTTGGGTTTAGGGTTTAGGGTTTAGGGGTTTAGGGTTTAGGGTTTAGGGTTGTCTTTAAGGGCTGTTGGATACATTAGATGCAGGAGTTGCGACGGGGTGAAAATGACTGTCATCGCAAGTCTGTGCTTTTTACCTTTGGCCGAAAATGTCCCCAAAGGTCCATACCATGGAATCCGATCCATGATTCGCGACTAGGCCGTTCTCGGATGATCACGGGGTTTAAGTGTAGCTTCGTCTATTCTAACAAGCAGGAACCAAAGAAATCGACTTCTGCTCCAGCCAACACGTGTTGTCACTGCGGAGTCTTCAAAGCGCCAGGAGAGCCTCTTGAAAGAGCTGATGGAGTTTGATGTCCCATGCTACCTTGTGCGCAACAAGGTGGAAGTGCTTGCGTTTAGGGTCTGCTACCAATTTGTGAATAGAAGGCATCGTATTTTCCTTACACTCCGTCATACAATAGCACACCCCCGAACGACAGTTTTGGCAGGAAGGGGCGCTGCGACTTTTTGCGCCCAAACCATTGTTACTCTAATATCCCGATGATCAAGGCCACTATAGCTAGTAGCCAGATGTCGGGTCTTAGGATTCTGAGCACGCAGCTGACGCTGAAGCTTCTCGCTCTCGACACCGCCTGTTCAGAGGATCGACGATGTTATAGTTTATCTATGTTTCGGGTCATCATCAGCAGCAAGGGTGGTGTGTAGCCGGCACAGTTCACTAAAGTTTTGTCAGCATCAGCGCAGGATCCAGGAAAGCAGTTGGATGTGCTGCATGCACAAACATGTATGTATGCATGTATGTATGTAGGAAGGATGTATGGATTTGTGTGTATCCACCTAATCGTCTATCTACCCGTTGATCGTTCGATCGGTCTATCTGTCTGTCAATCAACCAAACAATCAATCATTCAATCAATCCATCCTTCTATCTGCCAATCTTCATCCATCTATCTATCCATCGATCTCTCAATCTATCCATCAACCTATCTACCTGTCTATCCATCTGTATATCTCCACATATATATATACACACAGATAGATATGTATACGCATTTGTTGTGAACCTCAAGCGCCACAACCTGCTCCAAGTTCTAATCCCGGTGACTGTCATATAGCCCATGGACCCCCCAGACCTTCCAAAATCCCTTAATTAAGGAATATACCTTAAATTATAATAGGATCCCTTATATGATTTAAGGTATATTCCTTAATTAGGGGATTTTGGAAGGTCTGGGCCCCCAAATGCTGCCCGGCCCAAACCTTTTGTTCACCCTTTCGCAGCCTTGCAGAAAACGACATTCGATCTCGACCTTGCTCAGGTGGACCAGGACGTCATGAACAATGCCCAGGACAGTAGGTTGTAGCTTGTGGATAGTTGACTTCAACTGCAGCCTTACGTGGGTCAACGCGGTGTTGGCAGTCTCCCTGTATTTTTGGTAGAGTATATGTACCGCAAATATTAGCGTAAACTGGAATCTTTCTGGCCAGATGTATAACATTACCATCACTACACCCTGCCAAACCCTATGCTGATTCAGGCGCCTGTACTATGCCACTCCATGCATGTGTTGCTTGCTGATGCTGACCTCAATTAATCGCTCGCAGACCCAGGGTTGATGGCCCCCCCTCTTTGGTTTAGGGTTTAGGATTTAGGGTTTAGGATTTAGGGTTTAGGGTTGTGGGCTTTGGGTGTACTAGTATTACGCGGCGGAGAAAGTGACTTTTTTGGTCCTTCAATAGGTCGCACTTCAATTGGTCGCAGGTCTTATGGGTGTCGCTGGGTTACACAACCAAGCCTTTAAAGATACTGTCAGTCAGGGTCTTTAGTTCCAGCTCGTCGTTGTGTCCTGGATTTACAGAGGGTGTTGCTCCGAGGGTCGAGGATTTGACGTTTACGGTTCCAGGCTATTATCATTCTAATCTGCCGGGCATTGCAACTTGTCATGCTACTGGTGGAAACCGAGTTTGCTTATCGGTTTTATGCGGATGAGGAAACAGCTGTTGTTCTCGTCCTCCCATGCCCTCGCAGGACAACGAGATGTCGACGGAGGAGACACTGAGAGTCTTGCGGCGAGAGCTTGCGACGAGCTGCGCCCCCACGCGCACTTTCCTGGTCTCTGCGAAGCACCCAGTGCCTCGGTTAGGGCTCAGGAATTTTTAGATCTAGAACTACGTGCAATATTTATTGATTTGTTGGGTAGTTTGTAATGCATATCATATAAAAAAACACAGCAGACATCCACACTAAAGAACAGATAATGCATAATGCTTTTAAGTTGTTTAATGTATGTTTTACATAACATATAACATCTGAAACTGCATAGATGCTCAGGGGCACAGAGCTGCTACAGATCTTCGAGCCCTCTAGTCCAGGTGCAAAACCTTGCCCCACCCGCCACCCCTCAGGTTTAGGGGTTAGGGTACAAAATTAAAGACCTCAGACCCTGAAGCCCACAGTCACCCCATTTCCTTTCCAGGCTCCCTTCTTGTCGTTGTCCCTCTGTAATTAGCTATAAAGCCTTACAAATCCATATCTAGATCAAAAACTCAACATGAAACCCTCAACCCCTAAACCCTACACCCTAAGCCCCTCAATCCTAATCCTCTTCATACCCCTCGGTTTGGCTCTGTGTAAGCCTTTCAGGAACCCCTGGGCCCCCAACCCCAAACCCCTATAGTTATACTGCCTACCTATCTATGTTACCTCCCAGGCGTGCACCAAGTTCCATTGTAGCTCCTTTTGTGATATAATGCAATATATACTATCATGTAACACACTATAATATACCACAGTGCAATATAGCCATCTATTATGTTCACTCCAAGGACTGCGCCAAGTTCGACTTCCAGACCCTCCTGCACGCTATGGCAGACGACGTGGCTGCTCAAAGGGCCGAGGTAGCTGGGCTTGGTTTTTGTTTCTAGGGCTCAGGGTTTGGGGTTGCGGGCTTGAGGGCTTTAGTTTTTTTATTTTGTATGAGTTTTGGGGTTTAGGGCTTTAGACTTTGGAGCTTTTCGGGTTTAGGGCTTTGGGGTGCTATTGTTTGTGTGCGTGTGTGTGTGTGTCTTTGTTTTGTTGGTTTCTATCAGGACTCTTTTTTAGGGAGTGCGAAGGCTGTAGGGTTTCGGCTTAGGTTTTCCGGATAGTATATGTGTTTGTTGGACCTTTGGGTTGGTTAATTAAACGTCTGTTGACTGTTTAGCTTGTTTTCCCTAATCCAGACTCAAAAGTTCGCAATGTGGGCATAAACGTTTTGGAACTTGTAGGTAGGCACGGGTTGAGACATGCGTGCAGACTGGCATCTAGTTATTTCAGCGATTGATAAAGATACATATCTTGCCGAAATCTACCGCAGCGTCGTATTTGTCGGGAGTGTGGGTTCAGGGCTCAGAATCCCTCTGGTCCAAAAAAGACTGCACCGGTAGAACTCTTGAGGTGGCTCTTAGTACAGGCCGAGAGGTTGGTAGGCTTCTGGGCTCCCCCCAATACGTTCGAGTCAAGACAGAATCTCTCGAACTTCCGCCGAGCAGTTCCGGAAAAAGACTATAGTGAACCCCAGAAAGTTGGAACGTAGATTTAGGATGGTTCATGCTGGGATTCCCTATACTTTACTTTTCAGGGCATGAGGATAGTGATGTTCTACAAGTCTGGCTTCTGCTGTAGACGTTTGTTTAGGCCTTCGATTTATCCCTTGAAGATGCTCCAGAGGTGAAACGGCCACGATGTCCCAAAGCAGTGGTTTTCGTAAGCGGGGCTCCGAACATTCTAACATGACCTAAACCCTGAACCCTACACCCTAAGCCCTGCGACTCTAAGACCTTAAAACCCTAAACCCGAAAACCCCCGAAGCCCTAAACCCTAAACTCTAAATCCTAAACTCTAAACCCTAAACTCTAAATCCTAAACTCTAAACCCTAAACTCTAAATCCTAAACTCTAAGTCCTAAACTCCACATCCCTAAGACCCTAAGACCCTAAACCCCCCGAAGCCCCAAACCCTAAACCCCCAAACGCCTCAGCAAGCCGAGGTCCCAGAGCTCCCTGACCAGCTCCCTGGCAATCTTGCCCTGGGCTCTTGTTACGGATCTTAGGTCCAACGGTTGATGAAAGAAATCCTGCATGACCCATAATAAGGAACATACCATAATTCCCATAGTTTAGGGCCCTTAAGGTAATGCAGGATTTCTATCATCAACAGAGGTACCACAAGGGATCTAGGGTTTATAGGGTTTAGTAGGATTTAGGGTTTAGAGTTTATAGGGTGAGGCTCTTGTTAGGGATCTTAGGTCCAAGTACCACAAGGGATCTAGGGTTTATAGGGCTTATATAGTAGAATTTAGAGTTTAGAGGTTATAGGGTGAGGCTCTTGTTAGGGATCTTAGGCCCAAGTACCACAAGGGGTTTAGGGTTTAGGGGGGGGGGGGTTTGGGGTGTTTAGGGTTTTAGGGGTTTGGGGTTTAGGGTTTATGGGGTTTCGGGTTTAGGATTTCGGGTTTATCTGCCACAAGCCCGGACTCATTTCCATGGCATACCATGGTAGAGCGAGCCCCCAACTCAATCCTAAACCCCCGAACCCCTGAACCCTAAACCCTCAGCCCCTACACCCGTCAACATCCTAAACCCCTAAACCCTAAACCCTTAAATCCTTAAACCCTAAACCTTATAACCCTGAACCCTAACTTAACCCTTAAAGGTAAACCCTAAGGCCCTTTAGAAGACGGCAGTGGGGGCGCTTCGAGGCTCGAAGGACTTCCCGCCCGGGATCTCCTCTGCCTCGAGGGCCTGGGATGCGAGACCGAGGCCGAGGCGCCCTCCGATTTTTGAAGTTTAAGAGGTCCTTTTTCGGAGTCCTTTGAATGGGTTAATTTAAGGGTTCCTTTAAGAAGGGCTAAGGGGTCTTATGAGAGTACCCTTCTCTGAAGTGACCGATTTTCCTTTAAAGGGTCCCTGAACAGCTAGTTTAAGGGTACCTTACGAGTTCAGAGCATGAGGCGCCCTCCCTTTTCAGAAGTGAACCGTTTCTTTAAAAAGGGTTCCTTTTCGGGCTAGTTTAAGAGTTACTATGCTATATGTAAGGTGTTCAGAGACCGAGACGCCCTCCCTTCCCCTTTTTTGGAGTTTAAGAAAGTTTAAGAGGTCCTTTAAAGGGTTCCTTTAAACAGAGTTAAGGGGTGATATAAGAGTACCTTTTTTTGAAGTTTAAGAGGTTCTTTAAAGGAGTCCTTTAAGTTAAATGGTTACTTTAAGGGTTCCTTGGTTTAAGGGTACCTTACGAGTTCAGAGGCTGAGGCGCCCTCCCTTTGTTGAAGCGAAGAGTTTTTTTTAAGGGTCCTGACTTTATAAGAGTCGCTTTAAGGGTACTTTCTGTAGATTTTACCCTGCCTCCATTGCTATTCCTATGGTCCTTAGCTATGTCTGTACGCGACTGCACTTGGCCCAAGTCCCCCGTGTAAAAAGGTCACAAGGGTTGACTTACCGGTTACTTGCCGTGTCTAGCTGGTAGCCTGGGAAACTTCAGGTTATCAGCCGTAGTTAGCTCCGTAATGGACATCGTGCCGTTCACAACGGCCGCGGGCAACAACGGTGACGGTGGTATTGGTGGTAGACAGGAGCAGGAAGCGAACCAGTACTTCTTGCATTTGTTGCACGAGAATACTCAGGTGAACTTGTTCTTGAATGACCCCCGCATTCAAAGTGCCTTGGAGCTTCGCGCGGAACAAAGACATCGATTTGTATTGGACAACGTGTACGCCGAAGCCAATGCATACATTGCAACAGCGGATGCGAATCATCGTCAACAGCTAGCATTTGTGAGCCAATCCACACACCTGTTGGTGGGACAGCTACACAACGAAGTACGAGTGCTAGAGACAATCGCCCGAGCAGAACGACAATCAGCCAATGAGCTGCAGGCACAGCTGGCACGCGCACAAAGGGAAAGTCATGATGAAAGGTCTATGGCCATGCAGTTTGATGCACATCGGTCCGAGCTGGAAGCAGCAGCGCGCACGCTCACTGCGGAAAACAGACAGCATGAACGCCGTTTCGCGGAATTGCGCTCGAGTATCGAAGAAAACCACAGTGAGATGATTGCCTTTTTAGGGTCTGAGTTTGAGGAAAAGCTTCAATGGGAAGAGAATGAGTACTACCATAGGCTAACCTCTGAGGCACAGCAGTACGATAGCTTGGTTGACGACCTGCAGGACAGGAATGCGGAGCTTATAGCTGAGGTCGACTCACTCAGGACTGTCTTGTCGACAGCGGAGAGTAGCCCACCGCAAGGTGGTGCCGTGCCGGTGAAAGTCGATCCCAGTGAGAGCTCCAAGCTTCAACCAAGCCCACCGCAAGGTGGTGCCGCAGCGCCGCTTGTTCAGGGTCCTAGTCACTCATGGATTCCGACCCTTCCGAACCCCAGGGAGATTCCTGTGTCGCTTCGGACGGTTTTGGGAAGGACCCAACGGTATGACATTGGTGAGCCTGAGGATTCCAAGGCCCACAATGTAGCGGTATCTGCTGCTGAACAGAGTGACAACAAAGAACCGGCAGAAGCTACTGAAAACAAAGAGCCTAGCGTACTTCTCGCTGAAGCACTCAAGTCGGTTATCCAGAAGCCTGACGATGACAAACCCAAGGCTAAGGAAGCCGAAACGGTGAAGCTACCCGACTTCCCTAACCCGGAGACTTACAGGAGTTGGAAGATCACGGTTAGGGAGGCCGTTCGGGCAGCATCGGACAGACCCGATGAGGCATTCAAATGGGTTCAAGAGGTTTACTCCAGGGACGCCGATCCGGAGAAGTTGAGGGACACGGGTAAATTCCTCACTTTGGACACAAAGATCCTTTCGGCGCTTTCGAGGGTCGCAAGAGGTGATCTTGGACGACAGATCATTAACTACAAAGAGTCTGAGGCAGCTGCTGGTAGGGCCGTTCGTGGTAGACAGGTTCTACTGATGTTCGAACACTACTTCAAGACCAACGAGGAAGCAGGTTCCCTCTACTCTGTGGAAGATCTTCTCAAGGTGCAGTTGAATGGTGATGACCTTAGCACTTTCATTCACAATTGAATTGGGAGTCGGTCATCGCGGGGTTGAACCACCAACCCGAGGAGACTACACTGAGAGATATTCTACTTCGGCAGCTTCGCAATGCTAGCAAGCTCAAGTTTGATCTGGAAGTTTACGACAGGGCTAAGGAAGGAACAGAGCAGCGCACTTATGACTACTTGGTCAAATGCGTGAAAGAGCTGTTGGCAAGAGATAGGACTCGCAAAAACCGCACAGCAATCGCCAAAGCTCACGGTGCTAGATTCGGTGCCCCTGCTCCTTCCGATACCCCGAACACCCCTCGCGGCCGAAGCCAGGACAAGCCCTGCTACGCTTTCCAGCGTGGGAAGTGCCCACGAGGTGATAAGTGCCCATACAAGCACGTGAAGCCTACTCCTGAACAGACAAGGGGCAGAACACCTCCACGTACCCCTTCGAGAAAAGGTGGAGGTAAAGGCGGTAAAGGTGGGGAGAAGAAGGACACCTCCAAGATTCCTTGCATCTTTTTCCCCAAAGGCACCTGCAAGAACGGTAAGAATTGCCCATTCATGCACAAGGATGCCGCTCCCTCTGTCCCGGCCAAAGGCGATAAGGCTGGCAAGGACGGGAAGAGATCGCCCTCCGGCAAGCGCAGGCGACCCAGTAAGAAAAGGCCAAAGAGTGAGGACAAGCCAGCCGCATGCTGTCTCTCCCTCACAGCCACCCTCACGGGTGAGTCATCGGCCGATGCTGGGAAAGCCTACGCACTAGCAGCCCGCAAGGGCCCTGCCGGAAAGCCCCGAAGCAGAAAGGTCCAGTTCCTAAGGCCAGAAATCATTGACATCCCGCCTGAAGGTGAAGGTTGGAGCTTCGTACCAGACAAGCACAAGTACGAATTCAGGTACAAGTCTGCGGAGCTATGCCCACCATCAATTCCAGAGGACACCGAAGAAGCTTTGCAGAATGCCCGTCACTTGGAGTCAGCAGTGAACGGGATGAAGCTTAAGGTTCGGGTCAAGTGTAACTACAGGTGTCGGGGTAGAGAAGGATTCTGCACTCACTGCAAAGAAGCAATTCCCCTGCCCCAACTTGCTGCAGCGGCGGTGACAGGTGAAAACCTCGAAATCATCGCAGACACCGGTAGCGAGGAAGATCTGATTAGTCACTCTGATTTGGAGGCCCATTTCAAGGGCAAGGCTAAGAAGGTTGCTTCCAACCCAGTGAGTTTGATCACTGCTAACGGACCAGTAGACGCTGATACCAAGCATGAGGTCTACATTGAGTCATTGAGGAACCCATTGCAGTTCGTTGAGCTCCCCAACACACCTGCAGTTTGCTCTGTAGGAAAGAAGTGCATGGAACAGGGGTTCTCTTTCCACTGGCCAGCGGGTGAGGCGCCATATTTCATTTGCCCAGACGGTCAGAAGATGATTTGCCAACTCCGAGGCAATGTTCCCGTATTTGGCGACCGAGGACCATTGATGGCATGCTTAGCGGCTTAGCGGCAAAGTCCTCAGAATCTGATGGCAGCAAGGTTGCACCGACCTCTGTCAAGTCTGGTTCGGGTTTTCGGTAAACAGCTGCCCGCAAGGGCACGCCGCACCAGCTAGGGGAGAGCACGAACATGAACCTGAAGGTCCAGCTGGCGCGGCAGAAGATCCCATCGAAAAGATGGCGAATTGCATTCCTCCCATTCCTGGGGTGGAAACGAGGCAACTGCTAAAGGCAGGTTGGACTGTCATCAACGGCAGCCCCGCTGCTAAGGTGGCACATTTCCCAAAGACGCTTCGAACACCGGCTCCTAAGTTCCCAAGGTATAGAATCCGGACTAGTTGGGGATTCAAGGATGACGTGTGGTCTTTGTTGGAGGATTCAGTCAACATTGACGAATTGGACGGAATCTATGGGGAAGTACCTGAAGGGACTATTGCGACTATCACATTGTTTGCTTTGCCTGAAGGGGAAGTTGAGGCGCAAGCCGACAGCGATGTCGAGCCATACACAATGCCAAAGTCTAAGAAGAACGAAGCTTCCTTGAGGGCTGAGGCTGTGTCCTTGGAACATCGACTTACCCATAGACCAAAGAATCCGTTCTGCCCAATTTGCCAAAGGGCCAAGATGTATGCGCCCCAGGCGCGTAAATCTGGTGGATCCTCTACAATCTACAGTAAATCGTTCGGTGACCACATCACAGTAGATCACATCGTGACCGCTGATGCCAAGGATTACGGGTTCCAAGATGAAACCGTGGCTCATGTTGTGAAGGACGTGTATTCTAAGTTTAGATACGTGTACCCTTCCCAGACAAAGTCTGGTGAGCAGTGCTATGAAGACATGTTGCACTTCCTTGGTACAGATGATGAGGTAACGGTTATATATTCCGACAATGCGTTGGAGTTTGACTTTGCGGCCAGACAGCTTCGCGCTCGTCACAACACTTCTAGGGAGTATGTGAACGAAAACAAGGCCGTAATCGAGCGAGAAATCAGAACCATTTTGGAAGGCACACGGGCCAATTTAGTGCAATCAGGACTTCCAGATCGCTATTGGCCTCTTGCATCGCAACATCATGCTATGTGTCTTAACATCACTGCGAGGATTGACAATGGTCAGATTCCGTGGGAAATCAGGTACGGTGAAAAGTTCAACGGCATGCGCATTCCCTTTGGAGCGAAAGTCCTCTATTGGGCCCCGAAGAAGCAACGCAAGCCTGAACGATCCAAGTTTTCTGGCACAGGGATTGAAGGTATATTCCTTGGGTATCACATCCAACCTGGTTTTATCTTCAAGCTTGAGTACGTTGTTGCTCCCCTACACAACATCGAAGCCGCGTTGGAAAACGAAGATCTACGTGTGTTTCGCACTAAGAGACTGGAGCTACCAGATGGTGACTTTAAGTTTCCTTTGTTGCAAGAGCCTGCCTTGGATAAACCACCAAGCCTTGATGCACAACATCACAATGTCCTTGATGAGCAAAACCCGCATCCTCCTCTGGAGGAAGGGGGGGGATACGATGAAGCCACAATTCAGGAACAACTTAGCGAAGACCTGGATGAAATGTTCCCAGAGCTATTTGGTCCTGATCGTGATAAAGATCCTCCGCCGAAGGACGCGAAAGAAGCCACCCGCAAGGGTGAGTCAAAGTCTGATTCCCGTGCAGCATTGCTTGATGATGTTCCGTTCTCTGTGAAGCAGAAGCTGAAGTCCAGCGCAGCAGTAGCAGCGCAAGAACCACCGTATGGTTATGCATGGAGTGGGGAATGTTTGGTCAAAAAGAACAACAAGAACCGCCCTGACGCTATTGATCATACTGCATGGAAGTCTATGTCGAAAAGACAAAGAGCAACAGCAATTGCAGAACATGAGAAGAAGCTACATGAGGAGAATGAGGCACTGTACCGTGAAGCTGTAAAGGTGGTACCTGCAATGCCAGTCCTACATGGGTGTAGCGAGGAACATCGGGAACGACTCAAAGGGCTATATGACAAGAAGCTTTTTCAGATCGCAGACGAGATGTATGCTGTTGTCGCCAAGGTCCTGTCGTCTAAGGAGATTTCAACAAACCCTAAGGCGCAGGCTGCCATGGACAAAGAATGGCAGAAATTGGTAGACAAGGGCTGCTGGGTACAAGGCAAAGTCAGGGAGTTCGAGTCGGTTGCCAACGAAGCTAAGAAATCTCAAACCAAGGTTCACTTTGGCAATGTTTTTGAGATTGGTACCCTAAAGGGAGCCGAGCTGAAAGAAGGTGACCCTAATCGTAAGTATAAGGGACGTTCGGTATTTCAGGGAAACAAAGTACTTGACGAAAACGCCGATCACGCGCTCTTCGCGGAGATGTCGAGCAGCCCTGCATCCATGGAAGCAGGAAAGATTCTAGACGTCTTCGGCTCACAACCTGGTTACGTCATCCAGCAGGCCGACGCCAAGCAAGCATACACCCAAGCCTTGTTCCAAGGAGTTGCCACTTGGGTACGGTTGCCTCGCAATCGCTGGCCTAAGGCATGGCAGGGCATGAAAGATCCTGTCGTTCCACTCAAATTGGCACTTTACGGACACCCCGATTCAGGGGGGATTTGGGAACATCACTGCGAAGCTGAGTTGAAGAAAGTCGGGTTCGAGGCAGTATTGACTGACATTTGGAAGAGTGTATTCTACCACCCGAAGAAGAAGCTGCTTTTAGTGGTATACGTCGATGACTTTAAACTCGCTGGCCCTAAGAACTCTGTCAAGGAGGGATGGGACTTGATCTCGAGCGTCATTGATATGGATCTTCCGGAAGTCATTGGTAGATACTTTGGGTGCATGCACAAGGAAGAACACAACCTCAAGCTGCCCAAGGAAGCACACCCTTTTCGTCACGTGTTTGAGCCCGAATCATCAGCTGCAACTCCTGCTAGAAAAGAAGATTATTGGGACATTGACCCTGAGAATCTCATAGCAATCCGACATCACCGTTATCCTCGCAAAAGACTTTATGTCCCTAACGAGGATGATGCTAGAATGTTTCCGGGGATTGGCCCTCGGAGATACACCGTGGTGGCTAAAGCCACCCGCAAGGGTGAGTCGGAGGAAGTTGTTGTTGACAGTTGCAATCAAATGCGCGATCGCTGTCTTCAGGATTGGTGGGACGGCGAAACCTACTTCGACCTCGCAGGCCGGGAACAGTCTGATTTCGAGCTGGCAGTTGCAGCTGCCCGCAAGGGCAAGCCGGTTCGTAACAAGTCTTAGCTAAAAAGGAGGCGAAGCAGAGCAAGTTTGTTACCTTGTCGCAAGACGTTAAAGAGAAGCCCGGTGCAATGACCAAGCCAGTCACTCGCATCACGTACGATATGAAGGACTTTCTCGACTCTTGCGTTGATCGGTACTGCGAGCTTGCTAAGGTAGAGCGTAAGACCCTGAAACCAGCTGCAACCCCCTTCCACGAGCTACGTGTGGCTTTGCCAACAGCTTCCGAAGGAGAGAAGGCAGGGCGCTTGCAACCTATTGCTAGTAAGGTACTAATGAAGATTTTGTTCGCTGCTCGCATGGCCAGATGGGATCTTCTAAGGGCAACACAGTCTTTGGCGTCGAGGGTGACCAAATGGAGTCCAGATTGCGACTTGGGACTTCACAGGTTGGTTTGCTACATAAACTCTTCGCTTGATGTCACTATGAGCGGTTTCATAGGTGACAGCATAATGGATTGCAGGCTGTGGTTGTTCAGTGATTCCGACTTTGCGGGCGAATTCGATTCAAAATCGACTACAGGATGTGCGATGTTTTTGGTCGGACCAAACACGTACTTCCCCCTCAATGCCTTCAGCAAGAAACAAACATCTATCACAATGAGCTCTACCGAGTCCGAAGTTGTAGCAGCGAACCACGGTTTACGTGCCGAAGGTCTACCTTGCCTGAGCTTGTGGTATTTCCTATGGCGTGGAGATGCTGGCCGCAAGGCCGAGCCAAGGGCTGAGAGGGTGGATTCGATAGTTGCACGCATTGAGCCTGAACTTGACGAAATTCGTTATGGGTCCACTAGACCGGATGGGTTGTCAATCGCAGACATCAACGGCCTCTGTGTCCAACTTCCTGAAAGTTTCGAGGTTAGACATATGGAGGATAACCAGGCGACTATCACTCTTTTGTTGCTAGGGCAAGCTGGTGTTCTACGACATACTGATCGGACACAGAGGGTGAGTTTCTCATGGCTAAAGCAGCAATATGAGGTTGGGCATTTCAAGCTACTGAATGTTGGTACAGCCGAACAAGTGGCGGATGTATTCACGAAGCCTTTCACTGAAAAGAACAAGTGGACGCATGCCTTGAAGCTTATTGGACATACAACCAGCGCGAACGTAGCCGGGTGCAAACCCGAGTCGAAGGTCGAGTTTGACAACAAGGTTTCGGTAGCAGCAGCTCCGGATGCATCAAAGGTTGTCGAGGACTTCGCTAAACAATCGTTCGAGGCTAACGATTACAGCTTCAAGACCTTCGAGAAGCTAGCTGGGCTTATTCGTACCAATCTCAAGGCATCATTGGCAAAACCGCGATCGTTTATGGCTTCTGAGAAAATATCCAAATACTTGGTATTCGGCGCTTGGGTCCATGGTGGGTGCTTTGGTATTACCAACCGCACAAAACATTACCCATGGATTTGCAGGTATGTGAATGAATTTGTTAAGCGATCATCTCCGAAAGGGTTTACATGGACTTCGTTCGTGTTCAACTTCAACGGCAAGGCCCGCATCCACACGGATAAGTACAACCAGAAAGAATCGTACAACCTGACGTTCTCCTTCGGTAACTATACAGGGGGGACACTGTGGATTGAGGGCGCGAGCCAGTTGGGACCACCGGAAATATACACAGATGATCATGGCAAAGACCACAAAGGCTACAATTGCAACACATACCGCAAGCCTACTCTGTTGCATCCATCGACAAAACATGGTGTACAACCCTACACTGGCAAACGACATTCCTTCATCGCCTACTCTTCAGGGGGGTACCAGAAGTTCAACAAAAAGCAAAAGCAATTCCTACATCAATCACAGTTCCTCTTGCCTTCGGCTCAGTTGAAGCTCCCAGCTCAGCAGGCAATGGTTTGTTTGAGGTGTGTTGGTTCCCCTCTCGATGAGGGGGGTAGGCCTAACAAACCGTGTTCTCGTTTCGAAAATGATTCGTTTGCACACACATCGCTCGAGTGCACAAACACACAACAAACTGCAAGCCTTGACCATGAAATCTTGGCTTCCTTTATGTGCACGCCTGCCATTGCAATTTCAGCTGGTTCTGATCTTCCCGACTTGCCCGAAGCGACTTCTACGATCCCCAGGATGGCAGCCATCGTTGTGAGCGACGAGTTCTGCAGGGTCAACACCTCCGAAGCAGACAGGGCTGGAGTTACCAAGGCCATGAAAACCATTCTCCAATCCGCCGCCCTCAACAACGATATCATTTCGCTAGGCGCCGATCATGAGAGCCAGCTCTTGGAGTCGGCGTACAGCTGCGTATCCACACAATGCGCGGCTGGGGTATCCTTGACCCATGCCGACGCAACCTGTGTGGCTCTGCGCCAGATGGCTGACCTCAGTGACGAGGGACTCGCCAAGTTGAAGCCAACCGCAAGGTTGAGCCCCAAGGCCAAGCGAGCCATCATAGTCGTGTCAGACAGCTCCACCGCACTTTGCAAGAAGAACAGACGGGGAGTGTTCGTCAAGGCCGACTTGGATGCGGAAGTGAACATCGCAAGCATGACGCTGGGATGGGCACAGACTCGCTACACCATGTGTTGGGGCAAAACCTTGGCGTGGATTGTCTGGCAGGTCGAGGAGCATGTGAAAGAGCTTCGGACCAACTATCCGGACCACACCATCGACGTGATCTGCTGGTGGTGCGGGAACGAGATCTCCGGCCAGTCGGGCTGCATCCCCACGCGGCTAGGACCGGGACTCGCCTATAGAGATCCCAATGTCACAACGGAGACCGTCGCCCGGAAAGTGAGAAGGGCAGCGGATGTTTTAGCCGCCCTCGCGGGCGAGCCGGACATTGGTTTTGTGAAGGTGATTGGGCAGGTGGAGGCGGACTTGTTCCAACTCCACTCAGCCTACAACGACTTCAATGCCGCAATGTTCGAAGAGTTCAGGCAGCGCGGTCTGCAAGTGCAAACCGCGAGCTCCTTGGTCGAAAAGCTGGAAATGTATGACAGCTTTCACGCCAGTGAAGACCCTCGCAACCGCGAGTTATTCCAGACCTACTTGCATGCCACTTTCAATGCAAGCAGGAGCGAATGGCTTGCCCAGAAGATGACACCCTGTGTCAGGGCTTTGCTTGTTCGCTATGAGCACTTTGAGACTGGCTCCGGTGCCAACAATCCGGTGCTCCAGGATGTCTTCAAGCAGTGGCGTGCGGAGAAGGACCAGCTGGTGACCAGCTCATGAACCCGAAACAGGCAAAGCCAATGCCGGTCACCCAGGAGGACAAGATGTGGGAAGCCCCAGATGCCGCTGACGCAACGGACGTCACCAAGATCTCCGAGGGGCCACCCATGGATAAAGCCATCCGCAAGGATGTGCCAAGGATCGGTGCAACCACTGATGTTAGTGCTGTTGCGGAGTGCGTCAATGACATTGTCACCCAGGACGCAGACGGTAAGGTATCCTACAATACCCCGGGCACGGTGGAACTGGTGGATGAGGGCGACCAAGTCGACCCCATCCCATCATCGATTGGACGTGTCATTGAGCCAGCGCCTCCCAAGAAGACTAAGAAGTCTGACCGCGATGAGGACGCCATGCGAAGGCTCATGTTCATTGATGAAAGCGCCCCGCAAGGGGCTGCCACTGTGCCAGAGCTTCCGAATGAGTACTTCTACAACGGTAAGAAGCACTTGATGAAGCCTTTCAATCCGGAGGACATTGTGGGAGACAGGCACGTGACGTTCAAACACGGTGACCTGAAGTTCCTCACCAAGCTGCTACGTGGCCATGAAATGGACGACTTCCCTGCATTGATCTTTGACCGTGGGTGCTGGGCAGACGTTGACACTCTGCTCCAGGTCTTCAACACGGCACGGAACGCACGCTGGGGTGTGAGGCAGCTGCTACGCGCAGCGAAAGCCGATAACAAGGGACGGATCAGGCTTTTGGGCATTGATGTCCCCATGAAGGACACCCTGGGTCAGCCGCTATTCCCTGTACGGGTAAGGATGGCCCAAGGGCACAACTCCAAGCTCATCGGCAATAACCCGGACGCGGACTTCTTCCTCGCGACCAGGTTCTACAGCGGATTGTCCGAGTACGAGGCCGACCTGCAGAGCAGCGTCAGGGGGGTCACCGTACTCTCCCGTGAGGATACCCCCCCGAAACTCTTCCACCGCACGAATGAAAAGGGGATGAAGGGGATCCTCCGCGATGGCATGATCGCCGGTTCCGCAAGGTCAGACAGGTCCCACAACTACCTGTCCCCGTACAAGTTGGACGACACCCACTACAAGAGTGGAATGCGCTCCAACCAGCCGATCGAGCTGACGATAGACACGCAGCGAGCAATCGTCGCTGGATGCGTCTTCTTCGTCACGGAGACCGATGGCGTCCTCACACGGGACAATGTGCCGCCCGATTGCGTGCTGTCCGCCGTCGACACCAGCAAGAAGAACCTCCCGCTCTATGTCGCCGAGCACAAAGAAGCCGCCCGCGAGGGTGAGCCAGAGCGCATTTTCCGCGCCAAGCGCGACTACGAGGAGGCCGCAGCAGCAAGCTCATCATCGGCACCGCCTCCAAAACAGGCGGCTATCGCTCCCAAAGCGATTGCTTCAAAGAAGATGCCGAAGGTGGTTCCCAAGCCCGCCGCAATCGCCGAAAAAGACGAAAGCATGGACTTGGATGAAGCCACCCGCGAGGGTGAGCCTGCTGATGATGCTGGTGCATTCGACCTTGACGAAACCAAGGTTGAGGTTGAGGTTGAAGTCGACGAAGGCGATACAACGGATGCGGGTGAGGATGAGCCATACCCACTTGGATCACACCCATGCCGTGAGTGCGCAGCAGTCGTCGCCAGTGGCATGCTGTTCTGCCTCCGGTGCAAGGCTCCCCAGACGGATGACTCTAAGAAGATCACGAAGCGAGTCTTTGAGAATTCGAGACTTCGCCAGCGCCTTCTTGCCACCGCTGCAACCGGAGCTCAGAAGCCCATCGATGATCTCCTTGCGAGTGACCTTCGAGGCCTGGGCGAGGGACCAAAGAAGCGTGGTCAGATGAGCGCAGAGGCTGCCGCCATTCGTGACGCCAAAGACCGAAAGATCAGGGCCGCCAAGTTGAACTTTGACACCGTGTCCGACCGCTTCGAGAAGGACGCGCAGTTCAACGTGAGGATGACGCAAGAGGGCCGCAACTTCGAGGACATGCAGAAATTCGATCACCTGTCGAACGCTGTGCTTCCCGATCCAGGACGCAGCGAGGAGCAGCGCTACTTGCGTGCCGGCTCCCATTATGGTGGTGGCAATGTCCCGCCAGCGAAGTTGGTCTATTATGCCCACTGCGAAGTGGAGCCGTTGAGGAACTTGCGGTTTATCGATGATACCGCGGATGTCCCCATCGGCTTGACCTACCTCGGTGCATTCCTCCCTCCGCGACTCTATGCTGAGGTGGCAGCAGTGAATGATGCTGCGAAAAGGATCCTGACTTTCGACGGCGAGGTCTACGTGTCGGCTACCACAACTGAAGGCATCACAACTGAGATCGGACAGATTCTTACCGATAGCCTCCGTAGTGCTCAGAACCAGACAGACCAAACGGAACGTTTGGCAGAGCGCAATCGCCAGGCCGCAGTCCAGAACCGCCCATCCCAAAAGGGACGTGGTCGCACGACAGCACCTGAGCCAATGTACAGAGGCTATACTCAGGCCCAGTGGGACGAGTACTATCGCCAGCGTCGTGGAGGTTACACTCAGGCCGAGTGGGATGCATGGAACCGCACCCATAGGCGCTGAGTCCTCATTTTGATTTGCTTCGGACCTGCAGGGCTTCCCCGTTGTGCTTTATAAATGCTCGCTTTGGCAAGTCTTCAAAATCGTTGAAGCCCAGGGCAACCTGGAGCCATGTACTATCCGCCTTAGCTCGAGCAGCACGGCGAGGGGGGTGTAGATTTTACCCTGCCTCCATTGCTATTCCTATGGTCCTTAGCTATGTCTGTACGCGACTGCACTTGGCCCAAGTCCCCCGTGTAAAAAGGTCACAAGGGTTGACTTACCGGTTACTTGCCGTGTCTAGCTGGTAGCCTGGGAAACTTCACTTTCAGGGTTCCTTTATTTGGGGTTCAGGGGTGCCACCCTCCCTTTTTTGAAGTTTAAGAGTTCCTTTAAAGGGTTCCTTTACGGGTTACTTTTGGGGTTCCTTTAAAAAGAGTTAAGGGGTGCTATAAGAGTACCTTTTTTTGAAGTGACGAGTTTCTTTTAAAGGGTCCTGTAACAGTTAGTATACGGGAACCGTACGAGTTCAGAGGCTGAGGCGCCCTCCCTTTCCCTTTTTTGGAATTGACGAGTTTCTTTACAAAGGGTTCCTGTTCGGGTTAGTTTAAGGGTTCCTTTAAAGAGGGCTAAGGGGTTCTACAAGAGCTCCTTTTTTGAAGTGAAGAGTTCCTTTGAGGGGTCCTTTAAGAGTTATTTTATAAGGGCTACTTTAAGGGTTCCTTTAAATAGGGCTCAGGGGTGTGAGTTTCTTTTGAGGGTTCCTTGTAGGAACCCAAAAAAATTGAGGGTTTCTAAAAAAAAGAACGGGCTAGAGGGTACCATAGGAGCTCTTTTAAGAGTGCCTTGGGAGTTTAGAGGCTGAGTTTGAAGCGACGAGTTTCTTTAAGCGGTCCTTTAAGAGTTACTTTACGGGGTTCCTTTAAAAAGGGTTGCTTTGAGGCTTCCTTGGAAAGGAACCCTTAAATTGAGGGTTCCTGTCAAAAGAAAGGGCTAAAGGGTAGTTGAAGAGTGCCTTAGGAGTTCAGAAGCTGAGGCGCGCCCTCCCTTTTTTGAAGCGAAGAGTTTCTTTAAAGCGTTCCTTTCAGGGTTAGTTTAAGAGTTACTTCAAGGGTGAGTTTAAGAGTTCCATTATGGGTTCGTTTAAGAGTTATACTTTAAGAGTTCCATTAAGGGCTCCTTTAAAGAGGCTTAAGGGGTACTCTAAGAGCTGTTTTAATTTGAAGAGTTCAGGGGGTTCCGTCTCGGTCGACATTGAAGGGATTGAGGGCTTACGGGTGCTCCTTACAGTCTTGAAAATTGGGAGGGCTCCTGTAAGGATTGTTATAAGAGCTTGCAGGGCTCTAGGAGTTGTAGAAACGAGTTTGTAGGGGCACATGTAAGGTTCTTATAATTCGAGTCTTTTGGTGGCTTTCAGGTGAATGTCGCTTTTAGCTGAACGGTGGGTTTACGGATTTAGGGTTAAGGGCTCTCGAGTGTCGGGCTCGATGGGTTTAGGGTTTAGATTTTTAGTTTATGGCCCGAGGGTTTTCTGACTTAGCATGGTTCAGGGTTAAAGGTTGAACTACGTAGGGCTCATCAGGTCTAAAGTTCTAGAGTTCCTGATTTAAGGTTTACCTGGACCCCAAAAATATGTAGAATAATAGCCTTTTGCAAACAGGTTTCGGGCCATAAATTTTACCTGCTTTGTGGGGTCTAGGTAGGGGTTCAGGGTTGAAGGTTAAGGTCTTGGGGGTTTATAAGTTGTAAAGGTTTAGGATTCTCAGGGGCTTGAAGGCTTTTGCTTTTGCTCCTTTGAGAAGTATAAGATGTCTGAATGCTGCTGCATTTATATATACCTTGCGTGTTTCTGTATGTGGCACTTGAAGTAGTGCCTTTGGGGCGTTGCTCGTTGATAGCTTTGCTAGGCATTGCGTCGTTTCGTTGGCTGCATTGAACTGTTCGAGTGCTGTGTTCATCGAGGCTTTGATTTGAAACCTTACCCTTATTACACCCAAACCCTGAACTTTCTGAATTTGTGTTTATGTATTTCATGTACTTGTTTCTTTTTGATTTCAGGGTTTAGGGCTTCGGAACCGGAGGTGGCCTCGGGACGTTTAGCCTACAGAAATTCAGCCCTATGGACCCCACCAGTACCGAAAAGAAACCCTGAGCCAACCGGTGGCACCAGCCCCATACGGTTTAGGGTTTAGGGTTTAGGGTTTAGGGTTTAGGGTTTAGGGTTTAGGGTTTAGGGTTCCCAAGCAGATGGACCTGTTTGGTAAGCACCCCTTTTGGAACCTATGCATGAGCCGCTAAACAAACCCTTGCGGGTACGTGTTAAGAAATACTGCTGTGCGGAGGAACCCACTAATAGACGAATAGTAAGGGGCCCTTTCAAGGAGCTTTTCAAGAAACCCTTACGGGAGCCCTTGTATCGGAATCCTTCAAGAAGCCCCAAACCCCTAACCCCTAAACCCCTAAACGCCTAAACCCCTGGACCCCTAAACCCTAAAGCAGGCTACAGAGCCTCCCGTTCCCGCCTTCCTGGGCGCGGCCTTCGGTGCTTCGCTGCCGGCGGAGTCTTCGGAAGAGCCCTCGAACGCGTTCTTATGGGCCGGCCGAGACATGTAATGTAGGCTTAGGGTCGTGACAAGGTTTCGAGTCTGCAGTCTGCGACATAGATGGCTAAGAACGTTCTTTCATGGTGCCTGCATTTGTATAGTTTGATATGTGCCCAATTCCCTAGTCAACTAGTCCAATTCTTAAGGCCCCTCTCTTGGGATTTAGCGTATGGAGCTGTTGCAAGAGCAGGAGCAAGAATAAGAAAAGGAGCAGCAGGAGCAAAAACAAGATCAGGAGCAGGATCAGGAGCGAGAGCGACAGCAAGAGCGGGAGCGAGAGCAAGAGCAAGAGCGGGCGCGAGAGCAAGAGCAGGAGCGAGAACAAGAGCACGAGCAGAAGCACCAAAACAAGTTCAGGAGCAAGAGCACGGGCAAGAGCAGGAGCAGTGGGAACATCCCCCAAACGTGACAGTAGTGATTCATAACGCGACTAGTCAAACCACTTGTCTAGCTGTGGGCGAGGGGGATGCGATTGTAAAGGTACCCAACCCATTCAAGGCCAGAGTATATACTGCCCTAAGCCCAAATACCTGAAGCCTAAACCTCCAAACCCTTAACACTTAACCCCAATTAAGCCCCAAACCCCTAACCCCCAACCCCAACCCCTAAATCCTGAACCAGTTATAGGTACGGGAACCTATTTGGTTCATTTGACAAGCTGCGGTTGCATCCTCTGGGTTGCTGTTCCGGAACTTAAACTGAGTTACCATAACTTAAGGTTCTACAGCAAGAAACGGGGTTTCCGTGGTATGACGCCGATGACCAAAAATACTACAAGCAATTTAAGTTTCCCCCGACCTTCTGACCGTAGTTTTTGCGGGGCCTAGTTCCAGAAAAGTATGGAATGTATGTGGACCCTCTTGGCTCCTTACTAGCTCAACCCTCAAACCCAAAGCACTAACTCAAATCAAGCTCCTTAACCCCAAGGGTCCAAGTACCCAATCATCATATACTATCCGAAATCTTAACCTACATAAGTACTATCCCAAAACCGACTACCCAATAATTGGGTCCTTTGCACCCTTGGGGTAACAAGAGCCCAGTGCTGCAGGGCCGGCTCCGTGCTTAGCCTTTGCTGCCAAAGAGTCAGCTGCTGTCGACAGGGCATGCCGGGATTTAATTATGGTCTACCTGGACCCTAAAGACATTAAGGTCAATAATTTTGCAAGCGAATCATAAGAAGGAGCCCAGAAGGGGGAGGTGATTTAGGGTTTCCGGTTTAGGAATGACGGTTTAGGATTCAACGCTACGGATTGATAGCTTAATTAGGATTTGGGATCTAGAACTTGTGAAATATCAGTCGGAAGCTGTGTGATGTAAACCTTGTCTACCATACGCATCCCCCTCGCCCACCCCTATCATCTCGAACAAAGAACGGCTGCCACCAGTTAGGAAAGCCTACAAAATTTTGCAAGAGGGCAACTGGGGCCGAAGCTGAAGATCTTGTGGAAGTAGTTTAGACCCTGGGTGTGAACCCTAAGCCCTAAGCCCTACCTTAAGCCGGAATAACCTAATTTTTTTAGGGTTCCTTATTCTGATTTCCTTATATAAGTCCTTAAAAAGGTAGGTTATTCCGGCTTGAGGTAAACCCTGTTGAGCTTGCTTAGTGTCATTTCGTTTGAGGCCGGCTTCAGGGTCGGCCTGTGACCTCTTTAGGGTTTAGGGTTGAGGGGTTTAGGGTTTAGGGTTGAGGGGTTTAGGGTTTAGGATTTAGGGTTTAGGGTTTAGGGGTTTAGGGTTTAGGGTTTAGGGTTTAGGGGTTTAGGGTTTAGGGTTTAGGGTTGAGGGGTTTAGGGTTTAGGGTTTAGGGTTGAGGGGTTTAGGGTTTAGGGTTTAGGGTTGAGGGTTTTAGGGTTTAGTTTGAGTCCTTAGGACCTGAGGAGGGTAAGTTAGTTGGGTCCAGGTAGGGTTTAAGGGGTTTAGGATAGAAGGGTTTAATTAGGGGGTTTAGGATAGACATGTACTGGCAGACTGTGCCCAGATGTCAGGCAGCAAGCCAGACTCACGCAAGGCAGCAACAATTAGCTTTAGTTAGTGCTAGCTACGCTAGTTCTTATCCCGAAGGGTGCCAGATCCAGCCAGAACATTCCCAGCCTGAACACGAAGTCAAAAAAGCTGCAAACCGAAGCTCTCCCCACTTTCCATTATACTTCAACAATCGCCCCCACCTTCCTTTTTGTTTTTTCAAAATCGGCTGCAATCAGTCGAGCTGCCATACGATACGGAACCCAAACAGGATTCATATAAAGACTCCGAATAAGTATCCATGACCAGATCCCTTTGGTTGTGGCTGGCATCTTTCTCCTTTCGGGCTAGTTTCCACGGGGTCCTGCGCAAAAGCTGCCGGCGCACAGAAAAGACGCTCCTCTGAGAGTCCATGTACCTAACTAGAGGTTACTTTAAGGGTTCCTTTAAGGGTTA